TTTGTTTAAATGTTTGAAAGTGTCACTGCGTGAAATAGAGCAAATCATGGGGATTACGGGCCTCGTATACTTTAAGACATTTTAAGTATCRCCGACCGGAACTTGGAGTGTACGGATACGTGAAGTGTCATAAAGTATCAGTTACCGTATATCCTTTGACACTTCGTGTCATGTAGTGTCAATAACCCGACACCTTTGTCTTAAAGTATCGGAGAATATCGTATGCCGTATTCTAAGGTATATTCAAAGTATCAAGTGCACTGGGGTTTCTTGTTCCGGATTCCCGAATATTCAAGAAGGCCAGGCTTGCCAAATAAACTTCAAAATGAATGTTGTGAAATTTCGTTTCTATTACTTTCACGAATCAAGAAACAGAACCAGGCACACTAGGTCACTAAGTAGCATCGAATATCTTGTTGCCGTATTTTGGTGTAAACTTCAAGTATCGAGTGCCGTGGGATCGGATATGCGAAATAGTCCAACATCTTGAGCGGTCGCCGCACATAAATGTAAAAGGAAATTATATTTTTGGAAATCTTTTCTTTGTCTTAAAATTCATTAAGTATTTTTAGCTGTCTTTAAATTTCTATATAAGTATCAGGGGATTCTAGCTAGGATATTCTCAGTCAGTGGTCGTATGTCACGTKGTTTTACTGTCCGTGCCGTACGTACAGTGAAACCACGTGATCTTGTTTATCAAGACCAAGGTGGCGTCAGGGAAGGCAAATGCACATACTATGAAGAAGAAGGTTGTTTTAGAGTCTGATTTGCGAGGAGAACGAGCTGAATGGTAAGGACATTAAACGAATTTATTACATGACATGTGAGGGTCATTACTGAGTACGCTTTTGTATCGATCCAGGTTGAAAACACAGTTAGAAGGTCATGAAGAGCACACCAAGTGAAAGATTAAATGTAGATCTGTTTATGAAGCGATTGCTATTAAATATCCATCAGTGAATCCTGTGAAGAAAGCCTTTCCCTTTGTGAAACGACAGAATTATCACCCCAGAAATGGTAGTTCTGAAAGCTATTACTACAGTATCAGGGAAATTTATAAGCCTGAAGAGGTGGCTAGCACGGAGCAGGGCAAAGAAACAAATCTACCTCACGAGAATGAAGCCATCAATCAGTTGAGAAAATGCGTTGCCGAAAAGAAGAAGTGGTAGGTCTAAAGTTAAAAATCTAAAAAGATTGGAGATGAATTATAATGACTCACTCGAAAGTATAAGGAGCCTTCAGAAGCAGAAAAAGACGCTTTCTCAAATAGTCAATGACCTGGAAGAACAAAGACTGRAGCAACAAAGTGTACACAGTATGGCTACAGTAAATCCACCACAAAATGAGGTTGATCATATCAGTAGTAGATTGACCGAAATTCCTGTTGACCACCTAATACCTCTACAAACACTAAGAATTAAGGAAGCGTCAATAATTATTGGTTCTGGTAGCTATGGAACATGTGAACTAATGAGTTGGAAAAACATTCATGTTTGTGTTAAAAAGGCCCACTCCACTACTGATATTTCAGTAGTTAAAAAGGAGGCAGCTATTTTACACCAACTGCAGCAATCACTTTTTGTTCCGGTTCTTCTCGGTATCCACCTGTCATCTGCACCTTACTGTATTGTGACAAAGTTCCACTCTGTCAGACCAGAAAGCTCTGTCACTCTACATAAGGCTATTCACAGTTCAGCAATTATAGAACAAAACAAGTGGATGAACATCTTAATCAAATGTGGAACTGGCATTAAATCAATTCATAATTTTGGAATTTTACATAATGACCACCAGAAAAATGTTATTCTAGATAAAATGCATGGTCATACACATCCTATCATTATTGACTTTGGTAAAGCATGCAAAATTGGCAAAGGAAGATGTCGTAATGTTCAAAACTTCAATGCTTACAGAGACCAACATCCTTGGATTGCTCCAGAGAACATTTCTGGAAAACATGAGGAGTCAGAAGCCAGCGACTTATTTGGTTTTGGGTACATTATAAGCAAAGTGAACTGTAAGCTTGGTTGTGCAAGCTTAAAAGAGTTGTCAGAACGTTGCCAAAGTAAAAGGGATATCCRACCAACAATGGATAATATCATCGCCTCACTACAAAACATGATGATATCATAGAGYTTATGATCATGAAGAGGTAGCATATTGACTGCATTATACTGTAATAATAATAATAATAACAATGAATAGCTCTTATTAACCGAGTGCAAGGTCCTTAGTGTAAGTTATGGACCAAATTTTTTCCTCTATCTTATGGCCCAAGCGCATAGAGTGAGGGCCATAAAAAGTGAAAAAAAAACAAGGATCCATAACTTACACTAATAGAACCTTGCACTTGGTTAATAAGAGCAAACAAGTTTAATAAGATATTTATTAAATGGCAAGGCTACCAAAAGACCAATYATAGCATGTGAAATTACCTTTGTGTAATAATAACATTTATTTAGACATGATAAGTATTAGTGTTGTTGACGTGGTCATGTGTTACAATAATTATTATGTAGTATGAATAGTCTCCCTTTCTCTCTACTCTGTCACTCACTCTATGCTCTCTATACACTTATTTGTCTATATCTACTATAACTACCTATAAGCACTCAATGTAACTCTACTCTTTGACTACTCACGCTCTATATATGTAGATATAAACTTTATTATAATGGCCATATCTATTGAACAGTTTCATATTTTTAAGGAATACTTTTAGGGAGTGTTCATAATATAGTAGAAGGGAGAGCTTAGTGATGGTTTTAGATTTTCCCCCATATAGTTTTTGGGAGTCCCCTAAAATTTATTTCGCTTACCTTTTTCCTAGCACCCCTTGTAAAATATGCTCAAGCAAAGGTGAAATACCATGACCCCCTCCTCCATTATAGACGTAACCACTAACAATGCATATCCTTTATAATGACTATGAAACAAGTCATTATTATTTGAAAAATGATTATATGTCAACATTCTCAGGTTCAGTCCAAGGCCCATTGGTAACAAACATTTCAGAGTCTAATGCAAATGAACAGATTATACATTATGACAGATAAAATTTTCAGAATCCCATTTCATGGATTTTCAATTTTTAGAGCCATGCTGCAGTCTGTCTATTAAATATAATTAATATGTTCCTGAAAAAATTATCTTGGTTGGTGGCTATATCCTGATTGAAATGTTTACAATCAACTGCCTAATTAGATTTAGACCCTTTAAAATCATTGCAATTTATTGCAACATTGGGAATATTTACGCTAGACCCTGCTGAGTTCATATTGAACTGGGGATGAAGTGATTGAAGCCACCCCCTCCCTCTATACCTTCTTCCACAGTGAGAGGAATTTTTTGAAAACCCACTGCTCACTTAATAATATTGCAAGGCACTGATTTTAAGTGTAAGAGTTGAAAAAGTTGCGAAAGAATACAGAGGCCAATATGTAAATATTAATTAACTGCAAAAGCAATCTTCAAAATAATACCTTGTTCACTTGTTAGGCCAATCAGAGAACAGAAATTAAACAAAAGAATTCTTCCCTCTTGTCCATACATTTTAAGGGTATTCTAAAAAAATTTACCACAGAAGCAATGATACATGCAACTTGAGTGCAAATGCAATTTGAAATAAGTCTATGTTTTGACTGTCACAATTTTTTTCAATGTAAGGGAGCATTCATTTTTTAGGGGGGGGGGGGGGGGAGAAATTGGAGGAATCAAATATAAAAAAATGCCAACCCCCCTGGTAAAGAATTGAACTATTTTGATGACCCACCCAACTATCAAATATAACTGTCTTAAAAAATTTTCTGTCTAACTGTCAGGAAAATGATGTGACCCGACCCTTTTTATATAGTATTTTTTTGTTGACCAAAAAATGAATGCTCTTTAAGATTCCAAAAATCCAATGTGACCACAGTAGTTAAGCTCATTGTGCACTTCTCATTGGAAACACATTACTTGCTGGATGACTTCAATATTTTGAACAATTTTTTGCTTTAATGCAGCAAGTGGACAATATTAACAATGGAAGTGAGTGCAGAATGAGMTTTAAGGTAGAATAAAAGTAAAATAGTCTGCATTTCTGGCAATACTCAAGTCTCAGAGGACAAATAATTATAATAGCTGTTATTAAAGTTATAGAAGTGTTTGTAAACAATTATTATTTTTAGGAAAAATTTCCTAAATGCCAATTTTTTACCATCAATAATTTACCATTCTGGAATGTCATGAAATTTTAAGTTCTTTTATTACAAAAATATATTTCTACTTATCATGTTAAAACTATTTCTACTCATATRTACACTGGCTTACGAATTTCAAAAAGGTCTAATAATTAAAAGGGTTACTTGTGTATGGTATGAGGGTTGGTTACCAGCTTGGAGCTCTCACAGCAGAATTTTGGCAATCCTTTTTAAAATCACATCTGTTTTCCAAGATTGAGATTTAGAGATCTAGATCTAGAAATAAAACACCAAATGTATGCCCTTGTTATATAAGACATTCTTGTTGATACATGACTATCCATTAGATAGTTATTGCACTAAGAAGAGGAATAATTACATTGTTTTCCTTAATGCTACCTCTTTTAAATGTAGCCTCAACTACAATACACTTTTCCTGTATTCTACTTACTGGCATAAAACAAAAGCTGGAATACTGCTCAAAATCTCTACTCCAAACTTCTACTGGATGAGYGTAGAAGTTATCCCTATGATATTTAGCAAACCACTGAACATCAGCTAGAATGTGAGTAATCTTTTGTATTTTTCCATTACTCTTTTCGATGACAATATCATGTCTTAGGAAACCTCTTAATATTGCTGGTCGCTTCRACTCATCAAGCCACTTTGCACTGACAACAGATGCACTGCTATTATTTTTATGATCAGCACRGTAGTAGGACCCAGCATAAAATAAACACTTAAGAGACTGATAAAAATGTGATATATGCCTTACTTTATCATTAGGATACATAAACTCGTATACTGCCTTTAGATTTTCCATTTCAACACCATCTAGTGCTTTCCTTTTAAATGGTGGCAGAGGGACTTGAAGGCATGTTTTAGTATAATTTATTTCTGAAGAATTCAATAATTCTAAATTAATTAATTCAGTGTAATCTTYGCTTCTTTTGGACATTTCCAGCAAGGTTCCTTTTGTTGTAATGGAATTATTCAGCGTATCTCCAAGATGGATCATTTCATCTGGGAATGTAGCTGACAACACAAATCTGTCCCTTAAAAACTTTCTCATGATTTGTAACCCTAAAAATATAGGGAAAAAAAATGTTAAAAACGGTTTTCTCAAGTGTGAATCTTGTCCAAACATACTTCTTTACAACCATCACTTCATGTAAGTCATTTACTTACAACCTGCATTGATAGGAATTGTTCATTATTATGTCTTCAAGTCCTCCTCCCCCTCCCCTCACACACACTCCCAGTGCTACAAATTCAATCTTACAGCCTGGGCTCAGAGGATATTAATTTTGTTAAACAGTGATGTTTCAGCTGAATCCCCTTTATAATAATAATTAATCATAGTATTTCTTTAGTGATTCCTCACTGACATTGATAGCTTGAGTCAAATGCCTTCCCCTCCTACAAACCCCAATGTTCACAGTAGCAAAAGGCAAGCAGTAAACCACTGTGCCACACACGTCACCCTAAAATAAAGTTTGTATTTATAATTTTACTTACCAATATTGATGTTGTTTGTATGGTAATCTCCAAGTATACCATTGTACCGCTCAAATGAGAGGCACCAGAATGAATATATTGGGCCATAATCTAATATACACTGCATCAGATGACCATGGAGATGCATATTGGGAGTGCATTTGTCTTTGCCATAAAGCTTCTCAAAGTTCTCACAAAAAGTCATCAGCTTTTGGTCAGCAATCCTGTAGTTTTCCTTTGTTATCACCTTTGAGCAAAGTATTTGGCATGCATGAACAAAATCAGCCCAAACATTGTAGTGTTTATTTGGTATGACGCCTTTCAGAGCATACAAAGAATATATGCATATCCAGTTCTTCCACTGGTCTGCAGTGAACCCAGAAAATCYATTGGCAATTTTACTTGGAAGACGACCAACATCCGAAGGAGGTTTAACTTTATTTACACGGGCTTGTAATTTTGAGAGATCATTGGTGTCTATAATTCCTTCCTTGATCCAAGTATTAAGCACATGTTTAGCTGTCCCAAGTAAGAGMTTGTGCATGGGATCAATAAGCGTGAACCGCATTGCATCATAATAAGGTAGCTGATAGAGCACAGAGTATCTAATACCAGTTCTAGTGGCCTGGGTTTTGGCTTCGGTCTTGGTAAGTAAATTTGATTGTTGATACATTTCTGCATATGTTCTACATTGATCAGCAGTTCTCTCTTCCCATTCACTCCTATGAAAGCCAGAAAAATCTGGCTTGTCACCAAATCGTGCACGTGGAAATTGCTTGTGGCACTTATTGCATCCTAAAATAAGGAAAATGAATATCGATGAAATGTGAAGGTAGTCATGATAACAGTGGTATCTTCACATGTGATGGATATGATATTATATTAGATGTGCAGAGTGTATGAAGTTTTAGTCTATGGATGAATCCTAATATTTCGTTCATCAATGTAACTATATAATAAATAGAACATCACATAACCACATTGAGATGCAAATTTTAACTTCTCATGCTGAATATCTTTTTCTCATTCAATGCACTCACTCATGAGAGATATCGTCAACATTCAAAGATAAAGCTTGTATCTCCGTGCAGCCATGTAATATCCTCTATACATCAGCCACATATATTCGTACAAAATTACCTCTATTTGCTCCATGCCCTACAAATCCACCACATTTTCTTGTTGCAGGAATATCACTGGATAATGCTAGAAGTGCAGCTCTGTATCTTTCATAAGTTCCATTTCCACTATCTATGAGTACTCCATCCCAAAGATCGATTAAGTCGTTTATCAGTGGCTGCAGAAAAGTGTTTATATGAAGTTTGGGCTCATTCGGCCCAGGGACAACTCCTGCAATGATCATGTTTTCTGGCTTAAACCGCTGTTCCCGTGGAAGATTCATTACCACCAAATAGATCAATAGGGTCTATAGATCATACTTGTCGAAGGCATCCTTGTCCATGCTAAGATATTTCCTAATCATGTAAATTGTTTCTGGGATTGTACTTGCAAATACTTGAAGAGAATGAAGTCCACATACTTTTGCTAAGTACTGTAAGAAACCTTTAAAGAATTTTAAAAGTACCAAAATAGCTTTGTCTGATACTTTATACAGAGTTTGCCAGAGTAGAAGAAACAATAAAAGTGTTCTTGACTCAGATGAAATTCCACTTGAATTCTGAAAACCCTCTTCTTGATTATAATCATATTCATGTGGTTGGAAAAACTCTGCGGGAACTCCATCCCTTTCTTGCCTCTCCTTAAAAAAAAAAAAATTAAATACCACTTCTTTCCTCCCTTATTCCCTTGCTTCCTTCACTCACTCACCCAGGTTCATGCATTAATATTCATGCATTGCATTTGTTTGTTCATTCATTCCAATAAGTTTACCTGGTCTTGTTCTTCAACACTATTTCCTTCTAAAGGTAATCCAGTTACGTGATCATTGTCTTCTTCACTGCTATACTCCTCTGAAGCCTCTGAATCACTTGGATCTGAAGTATTTTCTTCGCTGTTGGATTCACCCATGTCACTTGAAACGCTACTGTCATTTTGAGAATACTCTTCTTCATATCCATATTCGGGACAGTCGACTGGCGCATCGGCTTCACTGCCATTGCCTTCCACTGAAGTATCGTTGTGGTTATCACTGATCAAGTCGCTGGACGAGTTTCCATAAAGAACTTGATGTTCATAAAACGTTGATTTACTTACGAAATGCTTGCAATGCTGATAATAGATTCTTCCATTGATGAATTTTGAGTCTACAGTAGATAAAGTAAAATTCAAGAAAGTCTTATGTAAGCTTAGACGGGAATATTAAAGCTTTTCGATTTGAAAACTGATCACTTCAATTTTGAAAATGAAACTTACTTTTGTGATTGATTGCATTGCAAGGCAGATGATCGTAGAACTGAGTTTTAGCTAACCAAGTGCAGCATTTTTGACAATATTTCTTGTTTGACATTTTTTATCAAAGAACCAGTGAACCTGGCAAGGCCGAAGGCTAGTCCAGAGGTCAACTTGCTATTTGACGTCATGCCTCGTCGAAGTGCAAGTGTTGCCTCACGTGCTTTACTTACTGCCTTTTATTGGACAAGAGGTGTCTAACAGAAGTACGCGCTTTTTTTAAAGATAAATGATCGTGATTTCTAGTAATCGATCTCTTTTGTGCTTGTCAGCTACCTCAAAGGAACTAGTATTCGACTAAGTGAAATAGCACGGTTTATTGTTGATTAACCACGCTTTTGTTACTTGATTTTTTAACTCTCCTATCATGCCTTTTACTCCTACATCTTTTTTTTAACTCGTCTTCATCCAGCGATACTGCTGCGGAGTTGAACGATTCTAGAAGAAA